TAATTATGATGATAGAGCTGATGATGATATTTCAATGCAAGTATGTGAACCATATGAAATTCACAAGGCAAAACAAAGTGAAGAGAATGAAAGAGTTTATGATGAATGTCAAACATCACCTGAAGATGTTTATGAACGTATGCCACAATAAAAGGAATTAGAGCAACTTAACATAGAGTAACTGTTGAAACGTTTTTACTAGTTTTAGTGTATCAATTTGTATTATAGTTATACATTACATAGTTTGTGTGAAAAAGAGAATACAACTTTATGAGTGCATTTAATAGTCACAGTGTAGTCTTGTGGATGCGGCACAAGATCTGATTTTAGTAAATTACATGTACTGATCAATCCTCCTATCTTCATTTCTTCTCCATCTAAAGAGAGAGTATATTAATAGAGAGACTTATACTTACCAAGATTCCATTCCAGTCCAGTGGTCCAACATTGATCACATGATTCTCCTAATGGTATTATGCCACAATGACCTTCAACCAATTCTCTCTTCAAATGAATAACATTCTTACCCTATGAAAACATCAATTGTTGACAATATAACATCAAAAGTACATGTATTTAAGTGTCTAGTTGGCCACAAAGTTTTGACACATGTGATTTGTTGTTGTTGTGTGTGGTTATGCTTATTGACTCCATGCAAGCATTGCTGGGTTTGTTATGATCAATCCTTACAGGATTCAATAGCATTAAAATTGAGTCTTCAGTTACAAGATATACTCTTTGATTAGCAGCTGCTTTGTAAAGCTCGTGTACATTCCCAAGCATTTGATCAAATCTTCCCCACATTCTGTTTAAAACATACACTGTAGCACACTAGAAAAGCATATAGAAATTAATGACAACATTATTGGATAGTTTTAGTCTACCTCTGGCTTTTCTGTTGACAGGTAAGTTAATGCTTTGCTGAAGTCAGTACTGTCTTGATCATGTTTCCTTATGATCTCTGATTTCTAAAATTATAATATTATTTAACGATTCACTATTAATATACTTAATACTTTTGATTCATAATAGTCTCGTACATCAGGTCGTATTGAATCCATATCTCCAATTATAACGTCTGGAATAAAACTATACAATATTGAAATTAATAGGAAAAAAAATTTCCACCAAACAAAGGCAAAATAATAATTATTTGTTATCATTGAAAGTGAAATTAGAATCAAAGGAGGCAAGGTTTGAGCCCCACCTTCTTTAAGCTGCATGTAATAAAACCAACTTTACTTTACTCTATGTTCCTCAGTTAGTGTATCATGCAGTGAGTTAGAGCCACCATCAGCACACACTCTAAAAGCAACTACAAGCAAAAGATATTAATTTTGTATAATTTTATGCCTACATTTCTTCCAGTTTTTAAGTAAAAAATTCTCCAGTGGTCCTAAAGAAGACCCATTGTTCAATAAGAGCAGAGCCTGCTTCTCTTCTGTGCCTATTCAAACAATAAATTGACCTGCACTATCACTACCTACAGCAAGGAACAGAAAACAAAGAGACTGACCTTCACCAATATGCAGAGGTGAATACTCCATATTTTTACACCGGAAGTAAATCTGCATTTTATCACGCACTTCCGGTTAGTTTTACACATCCGGCCGGTTTCATTTCACTTCCGGTTTGATTCTTCGTATACTAAAATAATTTTTCCGTTTACCATCGTAAACTTGTTGAACAAAAATGGTGAGATCTTTTTATTTCCATGATAATAATACAATATAATTCTTTGTTCCTTCTCTCAATCAGGCTTCTACTAACCTAGATACCATTCCAGGTCAGCGTGGATCCCTCGTAATAGCAGAGGACGGGGCCATCATTCAGGTAAGCAAATAACAGAGATTGGGCGGAGGATTGGAAATACATGTAGTTTGATAAACAAGCTACTTTGATAAATAACATTCTCAATAATTATTATTTGTATTCTTATGCTTATACAGTCTAATGGTGAGCTACAGAATGACGAGAAGACAGCTGCCATTATGTTACAGATGATGAAGAACAGTGTCAAATTGATAAAATCAGTTAACGGAGAGAGGAAGAGTAATGTTCAGCGATTATCAGGTAAAGAAATGCAATGAAATACTTACAATTAATGATGTATCTTTCATTTCTTTAGTTGCTTATAAGAATTATTCATTGGTTGCTTCAATTTGGAATCACAAAGTTTACGTCGTCAAGAGAATCAACCCAGAAACATGAATGGATCTTTATGGACTTTGTGGGTGTGGTTTTGTGTTTTATATACGAAGTAACTCTTTAAACCGTTGTATTGCTCCTGTGACATACAATTTGCTGTTTATTATTAATTAAGTTTTGTGTTTTGATCTATGGAAGGATATTGATATGTATCAGAAAATATAATAAAAATTTGGGGTCGTTTCAGAGCCATTTTTTGAAAAAAAAGAGAAGCAGCAGTTATTAGATAATGGCACCAAGTTATGTACTAGCTGGTAAGAGCCTGATAGAAATAATTGCACAACAACTTTATTTCCTAGCAATACATAAACAATAATAGTAGCAATAATAACAACAACAGTAAATAATAATAATAATAATAATAATAATGTCAATTAAAAAGTATCACATTGTAACTTGCATTAGACATGTTCAGAGAAGAAAATGGAGGGAAAAAAGAAAATGTATAAGCACAACTTGAAGCAGCATATAATAAAGAACTGCACAAATAATAATAATAATAATAATAATAATACTTAATAATATACCAGTCTGCAGGGCGGATCTTAATTAATAGTAATAATAATGTTAATAATTGTTAATAATAATTAACTCTACAGCTGCTAGATGGTAGCTCCACCCACTCATATCTCTTCGCTTGACGTGACCCAAATGAGGTCACTCGAGTTATCATGAATCACTTGCTTCACTTTATCGTAGATCTCTTCCAGAGAAGAACCTTCAACTACAGCTGCAAAAAAAAAAGAAATTTAAAAGAGATTTTATTTATTATTTATTTACCAGTAAATGAGTCAGCAAAATCCTGCTGTATGCCCCGCCCCTTGTCATAAATAACTTGAGCATTTTCATCACTGATGCGAGGCTGGGCTGACCTATTATTAAACATATAATTGATGGGTGTGGTCAACCACACCCACTCACTTGATGACGTTAGGACCGTCCGGTTGAATGCAAATGGCAATTGGAAGGAGATCGGCCAAATGGAGACGCTTGATAGCATAACCACTCACACCAAGGATACAGTGTTTGTTCTTAAAAATAGAGGAAACAAAAATAATAATAATAATAATAATATGGTTACCTGTTCAGCGACCTCTCGCACAGCTTGTATGCTGGTACCATAAAGGTTGTCTTTGTATCGTCCTGCCTCAATGAATAGGTGGGCTTGGATGTCTCTCTCCATCTGCTCAACGCTTGTAACAAAATGATAATCACGCCCGTCTACTTCACCTTGACGAGCTTTACGTGTTGTATCTGGAGAATGGGAATTCAAATGAGCATCTTAATCTTTCAAAGTTGCTCCAAAATCAAGCTAAAGCCCCTGTACTATAATACAGGGACTCTGGCTAAATTTCATCAAAAATAAAAAGTAGAGATTTTTCTATTTTTATAATTTTTCCTGATGCGTATACATGCTCTTATGTTGTGTAGAAAGTTTGAACCAATTCCAATCAAGTCTAGATTTTTTTACAAATTTTAAAAGTTGCTCCAAAATCGGGCCAAAATCCCTGTACTATAGTACAGAATCTCAGGCCAAATTTTGTCAAAAATGAAAAGTAAAAAATTCTCCATTTTTATAACTTTTCCTGATACATATACATGTTCTTATGTTGTGTATAAAGTTTGAGCCAATTCCAATCACATTTGGATTTTTTACGAATTTTTAAAGTTGCTCCAAAATCAGGCCAAACTCCCTGTACTATAGTACAGTGAGTTTCATCACAAACGGCTAATCCTGATAGGCTGATACAGTACATGATATACTTACGTGGTACACAGCCAGCAAACTTCTCAGGGAAGTCATTAACTAGTTTATCATTAATGTCCTCCTTCAATGGGCCCAATACAATGACTGGCCTAGCGTACCCTCCTATTAAACAAATTCTAATTAATGCCCACCTACACATCACTTACTCTTCTGTAGTGTGACCGGTTCATAAAAACTCAACATTTCCTCATCTACAGTGAAATGAAAACGGTTAATTAATTATGAATTATTTGAATTATTTAGAGGATAAGTGGCTAGAAAATA